GGGACAGCGCTGGCTGCCACGTGGGCACGCACGAGGACACTTGGGGGTCAGGCCCTGGAAGCAGAGCGGCCAGGACTGAGAAACGGCACGGGGTGGCGACGACGGAGCAACGGAGACCCCGTGAGCTCTCTGTGGCAGCGAGGTGGCAGTCCAGCTGGGTGGGCAGAGCATGGTTCGTTGGCAAAGGCTCAGAGGTCAAGGTGCCTGGATTTTCCACCATCCTCTCCGGGCCAGTTAGCCCTCATGGCCCAAAGCGAAGGTCACACTAGCAGCCAGGGAAAGGCCATCTGGGCCGCGGACTCCCGTGTCACGGCCTGGGATGGCGCTTTGTCCACATCCTCGTTCAAAAGCTGGGAGAATGGTTAAGGACGGACGTCCCCAAAGGCCTAGGTCCCTCGTGTCCTCAGGCCTCATGACCCCGGTCTGCAGAGAGCCTGTCTCAGCCCTGTGAATGCCCACACTAAGCTGAACCACCCACTACACTGGCTTCCAATGTCCTCGCGGGAGGGTGTGGCCAGGCCAGGACACCATAGTGGACATGCTGCCCCTGAGACGGAACCTGCAACCCAACAGTGAGACTGTCCCAGCCAGACAAAGTCCCCTGTGGGGACAGAGAAAAGGCGGGGACGCTGTGCCATGACACCACGCTAAGCGTGCACCTGCAGAGGGAGGGGCTACCTGAAGGCTCTGGGCAGGGGTGGGCCTGGGGGGCAGGCTCGCCTGGAATGTGGGGGCAGCCATGACAGCTCGGGGTCCTCCGTGCAAGCCCGCGGGGCTGAAAGGCCAATCACCTCTGGCCCTGTGTCTGGCCACGGCTCAAGGGAGACACTTGAAAACTCCCAAGTCCCAGAAGGAAAGCCTGTGAGCCAGGCCACGTGCCAGCCGGCAGACACCTGGGTCCTGGCCCCGCCCTGGTGGAGGCCAGGCTGTTCCCACTGCCCTGCGTGCTAGGGAGAGCAGGGGGAAGTCCGGGCCACAGGTTAATTCCCAGCTCGCCCACGCCCCATCCAAATGCCCAGAAGCTGCAGGACGGCAGGTGCTCGGAGAACCTCACCGTGCAGAGAAGGTTTGGGAGCGAGCAGGAAAAAACAGACCGAGAAAACACAGGCTGGCCTTGCTGCACTCCTGCCTTGCTAGCAAACACTCCAGAGGCAGACCCCAATGTCGCTAAACCCTCTAGCAGGGAGGCCGCTCCTGGTCCCACCGAGAAGGCGGCCAGGCCAGGTGTGGCTGCACAGGCTCTTCCAGCACTCTCTACCCAGGCCCAGGGCCTCCAGGTCGTGACCGCAGGGCCCAGAGCAGGTGGGCACCGGGAGGCTCGCCAGGCCAGCACAGGCAAGCCTGCAAGGCCGCTGATCAGCCCTCTGCCAGACCTCTTGTTCTCTGGTTGCATCTTAGAAGAGGAATTCAGTTTCATAAACAGAAAAGCCACAGCCCCCCACCCAGGGCGCTCTTAAAGTACAGCTTATCTCCCAGCCAGGGCCCTCCCATCAGTGGAGGCCAGCTTTGCAAGCAGGAAAAGGGATTAGAGAAGAAATGCGTTCTAAGAATGAAATAGACCATGAGGAAAAAGGTGACTTAGGTTGCCAAAGAACACACAATTCTACAGTCTCATTGTAGCAGGGGTGGTGGGGCCAGCACCGCAGACATTGCAGTCTACGAGAACCCTCCCTGCAGCTTTGGGGAGCTCGTTTACTGGCAAGCGACCCACACTGCCCACCTGCTTCCTGAGAGACAAGTCCTTCCCAAGTGGCTCAAGCAGGGCCGTGTGCCTTCCACTGCCAGTGCAGGAGGAGACCCCTGCCCTCCCTAGGGCTGAGCAAATCCCTGGTCTGCTCTCGGACTAGCACGTGTTTATCGAAATTGCAGGTGAAATTGAGCAGCTGTTAAAGTTTGGGTGCCACGTGTCTACACAGCAAAGCGTTTCTATCAGATTGACAATCCAGGTCTACATAGGCGGCACCCACGACTTTGCCATCGGAATGGAGAGCACCATGGTGCCAGGGCCTAGCAAGCCACCGGCTGCTGAGTCACGGTGTGAGGGCAGGAGGGGCCGCCCCGGCAGATTCTCTTTCCAATCTTTGGAGACAAGACGACCTTGCTCAGTATTGGGAGACCCCATTTGAACTTGATCGACGCCTCCCAGGTCCCTCCTTACCCTTGGCCCCAGGTTGGCATTGCTGAGCCTCCACTGAGCCCTGGGCACCAAGTCCAGTGGCTGATGCCGTCCACAAGCCCGAGATGCGCCTCAGCCCATGTCACCGCTGGGACCACAGAGCAGGCTTCCGGTCAGGTACACAGAGGCTGGGAGGGGGGCTGCTGCACCCTCCAGCTCAGCTTCTATGCACTGCAAGGCCCCCAAGAGATGCAACTCGATCACCCAGCAGCCCTGACCCCAGTCTGGGTCACCAACAGGCACCATGGAGTTCCCCACCCAGCCACCAAGATGCTCCCACCTGGGGAGGGCCTGTCCTCTGCAGGGAAGACCCAAGCCCGCCTGCCCCCAGCCACTCCTGCCTCCAGCCCTGCTGGCCTCTGGCGGTCCTAGCTCAGCGTCCAGCACAGGCTAACCTCGAGTCCCGCCTGGGGCCACGATGTCCCTGTGTCCCCTACCTGAGTGCGCGCTACGCGACGGGGGCGTCCTGCCCATCGCAGGCCCGTGAGCACACTGCGCCGGGCCTCCACAGCTGCTGTTTACAGAGGGAGCCTGGCCCGGCCGCTGCGTCGGACAGCGAGCGTTATCTGGACAGCTTCCTGTTTGAAATCCCCTGGACGCCTGCAGGGTGGGTGGGGTGCAGGGACCCGGGACCCTCGGGGAGGTGCTGACTCTCCGACCAGATGCCCAATTCTGACTTTTTCTGCTTCCATAGTTTTCTCCTTTTTTCCTTTGGAAAAAAATAATAATAAATAAATGAGTACTATGGAAATTCAGAGTGGCATAAAGAAGGATGCAATCTCCTGACCACACAGCTAGCAGGGCCGCTTTCACGGGTATCCACGTGGAACTTCCCTCCAGAAGGCGGGGGCTTGGCCAGTGCTGGTGCAGACTCAGGCACGGGGCGCCGACCTGCGCCCACCCTTTCTGCCGCGGTGAAGACAATATGTGCTAGAAACAAGCCTTCGGCAGGGGATGCAGGCCCCGCGGCCTGGGTTATACGCCAGAGGGTGGGGCACAGGCCAGACCGTGGCATGGGCTGGCACGACCTGCCCTGTGGGAGATCCTTGCTTCCCGTCCCGGGGCCTCCCTGTACGCTGGGTGCCTGTGATCTGGGCAGGCTGAGGCTGGGGCGGAGGGGCTGGGGACAGTGCTGGGATCCCGTGCGGGGTGCCTGTCTGTCTGTCTCTTTCCTGGAAGAAGATAAACTTTTTAAAAAGGTAGATATAAGTTTATGATCATAAAAAGTTAGGTTTAAAAGTGAACATTTAGGGACGAGCAGTTAGCATAATGGCTATATTGCTAGACTCCCATGTAGTCAACAGCGGTTCATATCCCAGACCCGGTGGCTTAAAACTCACGCCAGGCACATGTGCATGCCCAAGATCCCAAGAGGAGAATGGAGAAGGGACTGCGGCATGACCATCCCCCCTGGGGGGGTGATTTCTCGCTTTCTGTCTCTCTGTCTCTCTCTGTCTGGTGAGCGCACGTGCCCTATAGCAAAAACTTCTTCAAAAAAAAAAAAAGAGAAAGTGAATATTTATTTAAACTGAAAAATTATGATAGATCAAAAATGTAAAAACTGACAAATATCACACAAACCATAAAAAGGAATGATTCTTGAATCCTGAGTCTAAAGAAACTAAACTGACCACCTCCTAGAAAAACACAGCCACAACGCACCTAAAACACAGCAGGTAATTTAAGAACCATGTAACAATGAAGGAAATCGAATTCGCAATTTAAGAACTCCCAGAAAAGGACCAAAAGATGGCTTAGTGGTTATGTCGCTGGACTCTCACATGGCTGACCGCAGTTCAAGTCCTGGATCCGGAGGCTCAGAACTCACACAGGACACATGTGCATGCATGTCCAAGATCCCAAGAGGAGAATAGAGAAGAGACTGTGGTACGGCCATCCCCTCGGGGGTAACTTCTTGCTTTCTGTGGCTCTGTCTCTGTCCAGCAAGCACACTCCCTATAGCAAAAATTTCTCTTAAAAACAAAACAAAACAAAAAACCTCCTGGAAAGAGATTGCCAAACATTTAAAGAAAAATTAACCACAACTCTACACCATCTCTTCCAGCCGAGAGAAGAGGGAGACACCACTCTGAGTGGGGCTGGAATTATCCTGACACACACCACCTGCCTGGACAGGGCTGAAACAGCACCGGGAATGCCAGCGCTGGCAGACTCGAGACACAGGCCGGGCTGGAGAGGTGGTTGGGGTGCCGGCCCTGCAGCTGCAGACATCTGTGCTCGGCTCGACCGTGCAGGTGCTCCCGATGGCTTCACCCGCAGTGTCCCAGGCGGAGTCCCGTGAGCGGCAACATCAGAGGTGCGTGGGCCCCAGGACGAGGAGGCACGAGGCACAGGCACCCAGGAACACATCCCAGGGATCCTGCAGTGGACGAGCCACCCCAAGTCACTCCCTGCAGGTGACACACCCTTGCGAGGAGAGTGCAGGAACCGAGCCCGGGACAGAGCCTGCAGGGCTGAGGGAGTGGGAGGACCCTGTGAGGCTCCGGGGCGCAGCACTGCCCAGGGAGCCAGTCGCGGGCGGCTCCTTACCTGCAAGCCTGCTCTACAGCTCACCTGCCAACAGCTGCCTGCCGGCCCTCCTCCTTCCGTAGTTTTGGACTGTCTTCCCTTACTGCCTCCCCCCATGAACAGAAGACAATTCACTATTTTCTTGTGCATGGTTATATGAATTTTTAAATTATTACTGGTCGCTTCCTAAGAAGCTTACTTCTGCTTCACACGGCGTTACCGGTAAAGTTGGAGTTGTCAAATGGTGCTCACCTGGGGAAGACCTCTCAAGGCTCGTCTACAAGGGTATGTGTCACGGTGCTTCGCGTTTGGGCTTTCTGCATTTTGCAGTTTAGTCTTTGGACTGGTTGCACCACGGACCCGTTGCAGACGACCTCCTCCAGGTAGGTGCTCACCTGAACACTTTACAGGCCAACCAGACCCAAAGAAGGTGGCCAGGCCAGACATCAGCCCGCTCCCCTCCTCAGGTTCTGCAGAGATGTCTAGTTATCGCAGGCTGTCCTAGCTCGGGGTGGAGAGGCAAAGGACCGGCTGAACACCCTGCCGTGCAGACAGCGGGGTCCAGCCCACACGTCCGGGAGCCGCAGAGGCCTCCCCATCCTGACAGATGGAGGACCGTGACAGAGCACTCCTCGCAGTCTGCAGCCAAGGCTCTGCTTTGCCTAATTTGAGACACCTGAGCCGGGGTGCAGCAAAGGCCCCTCCAGCCGCATCTTGACTGACCTCATGATAAACCTGCCCCATAACAGGAGGGTGCCCGACCTCCAGCCAGGCGCTTCCACGCCCTGTCGCCCAGCAGCAACCCTCTGCCCTGCGCAAGGCAATGGGAGTGGGGACTGAACATGTCCAGAGCCCAGGCTCCAGCCAGGGCTGTCCACACTCGCTCTAGTTTAGGCTCACCACTACACTGCAGAGCAAGGTGCTATCGCCCGGTCACAGAGCTCAAGACCAGAGGCTGGGCCCACGCCCACCAATAGGGCCTGTGAGGCCCGCTTTGGCCCAAGTCGGCAGAGCCCACCTGGGGCCTGTCTGCAAACCAGACCTCCACCCAGGGCACCGCCGTCCTGTCACAGCTGATGCGGGTTTTCCATCTGTCCGCCTGTGCTCTTCAAATGCAAGCGCTTCTTTTGGTGCCAACAGGGCCAGCCTACGGCATTGTGGTTGAGGCAGCTGAACACGTGGCTGACGGTGTGGGTGGAGTCCCAGATCCAGTGGCTTGAGATATGTCAGGGGTGTGTGTATCCAAAATCCCAACAGGACGGAGACAGGGAAAAGGACTGTGGGGTGCCTATCCCTCACGGGGGCGTTTTCTCACTTTTCATCTCCCCACTCCCTTCCAGTGACTACACACCCTCTGGCCAAAAAAAAAAAAAAACCAAGAAAGTATCAATGACCTGAGAATTAATCTCAATTACAAAAATGAAAGTGAACATTTAACTTACCTATGTCCAAAAAAATTGTACATCAGACTTTTTTTAAAGTTTATTTCTTCTGCGACACAGGGGAGGTGGCCCGGCGGTCTCTGCCCACAGCCTGGCCCTGGAACATGGGGCGTGCACATGCGTACAGACTGTGCTGCCCGGCTGCACAGGACGAGGTTACACATCACACCTAAACCTGCACCCCGGGGCAAGGGCCAGGTCAGCCCAGGTCGGGCCAGGTTAGGCCAGGTCCACGGAGAGCGCCGGCTTCCCTGTCTCCCCGCCCCCTTCGGCTTTTCCTTCACAGCACCGACGTTGAGGCCCCAGGGCCCCAGGCCCCAGGGAAGCCTTCTGCCTCGCTAGCACTGACATCTCGTGTGCAGATCCACTCTCGGGCCGGGCGAGACCTGGCAAGCCTCCCAGTTGGTATTTACATTTCCCGACGATAGGAGGCATCCGGATGGATGGCCAGATGGGACTTTCCCAGGCCAGAGTGCGCGTCCGCATCTCTGGGCTGCTTGTCCCTGCGTTCGTGAACCACGGCCCCTCTCTGCCTCCACAGCCTTGGAGGCTCCGTTTCCGGGAAATGAACAGCACCACGTACGCCGCCCCACTGCAGGGCCTGCCACGCCACCCTCCCCGTGTCCTCTCGGCCTACTCACACGAGACATTGGACAGATGGCCCAGAGCATAGCAACGGCACTGGTCACAGCTGCCATGTGCCAGGGGCCCGTGTGCCGTGACCCATACCCGACATGGCTAGGAAACCAGCTCTGAGGCCCTCAGCCTGTGCCTGCACCAGCCCTCTGGAGGACGTCTCCAAACTGACGGCTGGGCCAGCCAGTGGAATGACGGTGAAGGCAGCCTGGATCCCACATGGCCGACTGCTCAGTTCGAGTCCTGGGCCTAGACACTTGAGAACACACCAGACGCACATGCATGCATGCCCAAAACCTGGATAGGGATGCAGTGGGGGTTGCACAGCGGCCATTCCCTCTGGGGTGCTCTTTCTTTATCTTCAGCACACACATGAGCCCTTTAAGTTTAAAGACTGCTGGAAGTCGGGTGCTGGGGTGGACACCTGTGGTCACAGCTACTGAGAGCCTGAGGCAGAAGGGTCCCGACAAGACCATCTAAAAACAATCGACCGCCAGTTCCGATTGACAGGATGGTGTGGGAACCAGGCACTGCCATTTCAGTCAAGTTGCCAAGCACAGCTGAGGATGCTGATCCAGGGAAATCAGTCCCTGGAAAGCCTCGGACTCATGCTGTGTTCGGTGCAGTGAGCCAGCAGTCCCTGAGGCATGAACACCCGCCCTCACCCTGCACTTCCTGTACCCTCAACTGCCACGCAACCTGAGCGCCGAGAGCAGCGGACTGGCCTGCGTGAAGGGAGAGCTGAGGCTGCAGCAGCCACCCCAGGGAAGGCTAAGCTCGTAGGGCACCTGTGTGGTGAATCCGACCCAGCGCAGGGCTGTCCCTGCCTGGGAGCTCAGACTAAGCAAGCACCAGGACTCCTGCACGTTGGGGGTGACATCTCACCAGGACTGTGGTGGGGCGAGGGGCGAATGTGCTGGGTCCCACAGGGCTGACAGCAGAGCCCTCCGCTCAGCAGCTTGAAACACACAGGCTGTGTGTGCACCCAGGATCCCAACGGATGGTGGCATGGTCACCCCCCGAGAGGTGCTCACGCTCGCTCTGGCAAGGGTCCCTACCCTGTGGCAGAAAACCCATGAACTGTACTTAACTCCCAACAACCCCCTTAAAGCCCAGTCCGGGTGTGTGCACAAGACGATTCCAGGGAATCACAGTGCAGCAGATGAGCCAAGCCCAGGGGTGCTCCAGCACCCACCACCCGCAGGTAGAGGGCTCCCTACTGCACTGAGACAGGAGTGACAGGAAAGTGTATCGCTTTTTAAAAGATTTATTTAATTCCATTTGTTATTATTTTCATTTGACCAGAGACAGAAAGACAAAGTGAGAAAGCAAGCTGCCAGGTCTGAGACTTGAACCCAGTCAGCCATGTAGGAGTCCAACTGAACCACAGCACCACCCACTGGCTCCAATTTATCCCTTTTGTAAACTACAATAAAAAAGTACCCATGGAACCCACAGGTGGTGTGCTAATTAAGGCAGCTGGACCCCACCGTGACAACTACAGGTCGAGCCCCAGAACCAACAGCATGACACACACACCGGGCAGTGTACACTGCAGGTGGCCATCCCTCCGGGGGATGAGTTCCCGCCTCTCCAGCGGGTGCACACACCCTACAGCAACCTTCAAGTACCCGTGTACTTTCAGGCCCGGACACATGAGTGCCCATCTGCTGACTTGGCCACACACCCCACCCACAGCGCCGGGACAGGGCTCACTGTGTGTGCACCTCACAGCTCCCAGGACTGGCAGACGCCCCTCCCCGGACGCAGGGACACACACACAGACTACCGTGAGGGTACTTTATTCAGTCATTTTCTCACAACTGAAACTCTGGGAACTCAAAGTTAACGTCCTTGCCCGTGAGCTTCTTATAGACACCAGAGAAAGTTTCGACCTACAAGGAAAGAAATGATTTATCACCAAAGTGTTAAACACTCACCCTAAAACCTCGAGATTGTGGGACCATGCCCTGGTGCGGTTTTTCCCCAGCAAGCAGGTCCCCAGGGATAGAGATGCACGGCCCTGCCCAGAGCAGCCCTGCGAGTGGGGCAGGACCCCCAGCCCACCTGCTGTGCTCCTTTGCGTAACCCGGACAAGACTGCCAGGGGCCCATGGCACCCACACTGACTTAGTAACCGAGAAGGCGACTCTGCCCCCGACATGCCACCATCCCACACGATGCCCACGGCCATCCAGGGTGGCTCCACTCTCCACGTCCCCTAAGAACTTACCGGTACAAGGATTTCGGGGGTCCGACTTAACAAAACGGGACCTCCCGACCCCAAACTGGACACACAGTAAGAGGGCAGGGGCTGAGGGAGGGGGCCCAGGGCTGTGGCGGCCTCAGGGCAGGGGAGTGCACGGCCACCCGCGCCCGCAGGCCCCTACCTTGTGCTCCACGTTGTTCTGCTGGGCTTTGTCCAGGTGGACCTTGATGAGCCGGCTGCCATCCAGTTTCACGCGGATCCTCTTGCCCACGATCTCACTGGGGAAGACCAGGTCCTCCAGGATGGCGTCGTGCACGGCGGTCAGGGTGCGGCTGAGGGTGACGACCACATGAGCAGCCTGGCCAACACCTGCCCGCCAAGGAACCTCAGAGGGCCCCGGTTCCAGGCTCTCCAAACCCAAGTGGCTCTCACTTTTCAACACGCTTACTGGACGGGCTACCAGGTAGCTTACTGTTTCCAAGTTAGTCCATTTTAATGTGATATCCTGGCGGAGGGCTGGACTCCACCATGACAGTCCAACCCAGGACTGTTACCTCTGGGAGCAGGGGATTAGCAACGTGCGAACACCTTTATTTTCATGCGTCTGACTCAACTCAGTAACTGCAGTAACCTCTTATTTTGTTCATTTCCAGCCCCCCACCCTGCCATGCTGCCAGAGAATTTTAAGACACCAGTCTGACTGTGGCTTACCTACCAGAGACCATTCGAAAGGTCTGCTTGGACCCCAGAACACCCACATCGCTTGTTCTCCAGGATCAATCCAGGCAACACTCCGTCAAAAGACACCGTCCTCCCACCAGGTCTAGGACGGCTCCTCACCCACGTTCCTGATGTTCTGCCCCACTGCCCAAACTGCCAGCAGAACCCCACTACCCAGACTACCACGAGGGCCACAACCTGCCCAGCGGCTGCCTGGCAAGAGAAGGTTCCAGGGACTCCCAATCTTTGGGGTTCCTTACACCCCAGAGCTGCCAGGAGTTACTCAGGAGTCCACCTCCTGCTCGTCACTGACAGGGCTCTCACCCTGACTGCCAAGCTCTACTGTCCGTGGTCATGCAGCGAGCTGTCACCACCTTGCGGAGCGCAGTGCCTGCAGCTCCCACCGGGAGACGGCCAACCACCAACTTCACTAATTCCTTTGACGATAAATGAGAATAGAAGAGCAGCTATTGCTGGAATCAGGTTCCAACCCAAACTCTGAACAGAGGGAGCAATGTCAATGTGACTTGAATAATCACAAACCACAGGGACTGGCATGCTCTGTTTTCAGAAGAAAAGTAGCCACTGAAACCCCGCTGTAGCCCATACGCATACACGTCTGAGCATCTGACCTGGGTTGAAGCCCTCTTCTACAGAGAAAGGAAGTCAGGGTGAAAGCGGGAAACCAGACAGGGAGGGCAGACCGGTCCCAGTGACGGTGAGAGGGTCCACAAGGTGAGAAGGGTCAGAAACAAGCTTGGGCAACAGAGGACCGAAGCCAAGGTGTGGGAAGCAGGGGCTGAGCAGGGTGCGAGCACAGGGCTGTACGGCACAAGTTCCTAAGGCGGGTCTCAGGACGAGACCACATGCCCTCCTTCAGGCAGCACCCTAACGACAAACCGCCAACTCTTAGCACCCCAGCTGTCCGTAAAGGGGCCAAGGGACTAAGCAACCCTTCCTGCTGTGGAAGACCCAGCCCCGCCTTCTCGGCCTGAGCTGTGCTCCTTCCTCCTACACCAAGACCAGCCCCAGCAAGGCGCCCAACACTAGGCGAGGCCCGTCACCTGCTTCCAGCGAATTCACACTGCCCGTACCGCTGCCATGGGCCAGTGTGCCAAGCCTCGGTAGGTTCCTCACCCAGAAGCCGGGGCCACAAGTCAGTTCTTTCACAGCTGTTGCCATGAGTAGTTGAAAGGGCAACTAAAATATTACTTCTCAAACGATCCCTAGGGCCGGCCCCGAGGCCTAGTGGTTAAGGGAACCAGATCCCTTAACGTGGCGAACCACGCAGTTCTAATCCCAGCCCCAGTGGCTCACAAAACATGAAGGGCCGTGTGCCTGCTCGCCCCAAATCCCAGCAGGATGGAGAAATGGAGAAGAGACTGCAGTGTGACCACTCCCCACCCAGGGGTACTTCCTCCCTCCCTCTCCCTGGAGGGGCACATATCCTCCAGAGCAGGAAAAACCCTGGTCCCTAGGAAAGGGTCTGCCAGTAACCAAATCCACGGCAATAAAGCACCGATCGCAGCTGTAACATGACACAGAGGCCTAGCTCAAAAGCCAAGCTTGTGTACCAGTTTCTGCCAGACAACCAACCTCCAAGCCCACCAGTTCCATTGTTCCCACAGCACCTCAGCCGCAGGCCCGTGACCGTGATGTCCGCACAGCCTGAGGGACCAGCTCGATTTAACCTCTAACCCACAGGTGACAGCCCACACCGCGGCCCCATGGCTGCGGGAACGTCTCGCCCTCTGCCCCAGCACACTAAGCGAGGCCCGTCACCTCCTGCTTCCCGCTATCACTGCCCAGGTGGCCACACCCAGACCCATCCCAAGGCTCACCAACACCCAAAGAGAACAAACGGTACCCCCATTGGGCCACCAGGGCAGTCAGGATGCATTTCCCTGCTTTTGGTGTTTTATGCTTTTCCCCCACATTTTATTGATTCACAAAATGCCTTAAACTTATACTATGGACAAAGCTAGAATCTAGTTTCAAGTGCACTGTCATTTTTCTTCTGAAACATTTTAAATTAACTTACTTTCATTCCCTGAGCATTGTCACAGCATATAAAATGTGATTTCCCATCCAGAATACACTGCACAGTGGCTTAATCATACGTGTTACTGTCATTTCCCGCGTGTGTGTATACACAATACCCCATTTCTCACCCTCTCCCTTTCCCACCCTCCTCCCACGCTATCGTAGGTATCTATGGTTGTTTTCCATTCCTTCCCCATTTTATTGATTCACTTTCAATAGCAAGTTCAGCTGGTATGTACGTATCTGTGAATACACGTCTGCCTTTAGGTGTGAAACCTTGAGTAGAATGAAAATACTCTAAGGTCATTCCTAGCTGATGCTATAAAGCTTACTATAATCATTAAAAGGTACTTTTTAAATATGTTTTTAATTTCAAGAAAAGCAGTTTTAGCTTTAATAAATCAAAGAAATACCCAGGAACTTTACTTAAAACTTAAAGCCAGGAAACAGGTTAGAATTCCTTTCAAATAGTAGGTACATGAACCTACCGGCAGCTTTTACATCCAAAATGACGTTCGTTCCCGAGGACCTCACACAACCTGAACGGACAGTGACAAGCGTGGTTCGCACATTTTTGGTGCCGTTAATATACTCACCTCCTGGGACGCTTTTGCTTATTTTTCGTTCGGCTTTTTCGAGTTGGCTTAGGCAGAATTCTCCTCTGCAAGGTAGAAAGTGTCATGAAACAAATGCAAAAAATTAAAAAGGGCCTTCAGTTGACAAAAGATATTAACTGTCAAAGTGCTTTAATGAAGCATCAGAGTAAGTTCAAAATCCAAGAGAGCAAAACAATCTAGACCCGAGAATTCACTGGGAAGCCTCCTATGGAGCTACTCTCTGACTTTCCAGTGATCTGCTCAGAACCCATGGCTACTACTGTAATGGTTCTACAGAACCCTCCCTAACGTCACGGGTCTACACACACAGTAGGACCTACTACCCACTTCGGGTCAGGTCACAAGTTCAAAAACCCTTCCTGGCTACTCACCGGTTCCCCCAGAGTACAGTGACCCTCTCCTCCCTCTCCCCACTTCTGAGCTGCCCCTGATCCGCCCGTACAGCACGAGCCTTGGCCCCGGGCTCTCACCGGCAGGAAAACCTCTGCTCAGCAGCAACCCCAGCTGCTTAGCCTGTACCCCCGCAGCAATCCGCCCACCATGGAGCTGTAAAAGCAGAACCACCGCAGCAGCCCAGAGCCTCGGCACCCAGTCACTGACCAGCTTCCCCAACCCTTCGCCCCCCAACGACGAGTGTAAACACTACCATCCATGACACTGCGTGCCAGCACGTCACTGCCAGCACGTCATTTTATCAAAATCCACAGCATGCCAGGAGCAGATACCTGAGCAATAAAGACCACATGCTTCCCACTGAACTTCTTCTCCAGCTCCCGGACGAGCCGCACTTGGATCTTCTGGAAGGACTTCAGTTGAGGGACAGGAACAAAGATAATGATCGCTTTCCGACCACCACCAACTTCAATTTCCTAAAGAAAGAAAACTGTAAGTTCATAACCTCATCCTTCCACTCGAGTACAACCAAGATCTCACCCAACGTGCACACGAGCTTCACCATCGAAGACGTCCAGATTCCTGGCTCCTTCCAAAACCCGTGTCAATGAGATTTGCACAGCCACCGCACAGCTGCACCGCCAGTGCCATGCCTCACAGGTCAGACACGCTCACACTTGTGAGCTTGCTGACAACCACGTGTGTGTGTGGCTAACGTCCTTCTCCAAGAAATAAACTTGTAACTAGCCTGCAACCTGAAACGGAGGCTGGCTGTCCTCTCCGTAGAGCTCTGCCAAATTCCAGTGAGGAGACACTAATTCAGGCCCTAGACCGTCTACCCAAGTACCTGTCGCTGGCAGCTGCGCGGCTCGCGCACCTTCTTCAGATGCAGGAGGCCCTGCAGTCGGTCTCACCTCCAGGCAGCAAGGGCACCCTCGGGAGCCTTCCCCTCTGTCTCCCAGGGCCAGGGCACCGGCAGCACGCTACCTCCAGGCCTACTCTCACCTCCCAGAGCGCAGAGGCGTCCCCACCCTGGCAGCGGGCGCCTGACTGGAACAAACGCGCAGGCACGTGGCCTCCCGCTGCCTGCGCCCCGCCGGACCGCCCTGCAGCCCAGCCCTGTCCGGCCCCGGCGCCCCCCAGGGGCCTCCCC